ACTCAAGCCAAGTAGCATCTTCCATTGCAATGGCCCTGCCTCTTTTAACCATCCCTTCCTCTATGCCTCTGCCCTACCACAGATTCAAACTTTTCAATGTTGTTACTGTAGCTACGTCAGCCTCACTGGTGGTGTCTAAAACCATTTCTTTCTCTCTGTCTTTGCAGTATCCAGTCCAGCCAGAAGAAGAGCGAAAAGCTCTCAACACCTCTTGACCAAGAATGTAAGGAAACTTCAGTTTTGATGCGCTTTGGTTGACTTTCATTTAAAAAGCAATGCCTGGCTTCTTCACTGTCCTTCCCTGGCTCTCAGTGGCCAGGAGAGTTTCAATGTTCCGTGCAGTGGGTGCTGCACTCTGTTCTCCACTTAACCAAAATAATTAGCAAATGTCAACCAGACACCAAGTGACCCTGAGCTGGACCTCTTATTCTGCCATTTTCCCCAGGCACAGAGAGGAAGCCTTGTTTTATACACACATTTCTTTTCTTGTTTAAACAGAGTCTATGTTGCAGACATAGCATTCCTGATCTAGGTGTTTTCCTGTTGTTGGCATTCGTAATGTTTCATTTTTTTACTATTATTAGTAGCACAACAATGAATGTATTTATATAAAATACTAGTCTTTTGGATTAATTCCTCAGAGCATAGGTCTCAAAGCAGGATTAACAGGTAAAAGGATACGAACAATTTCATCCATCCATTCATTCATCAAATATTTGCATTCCTACTGTGTGAGGCAAACATTGTGCTACATGTAGAGAATCAGGATTTGGTAAAACTAGTTTTTTTTACAGTTTTGTCACATACTGTCAGGAATTCTGAACAATATAGGGGCTTCCAGTAATGCTTTTCCATTTACCACCAACATCACCAGCATTGGTTTTCCTCTTTTTGTATTATGTTTTGCTGCTTTAACATGCATATGCATTACCTTAAAATTAGTTTACATTCTTTAGAGCCTAATAATGCTGTGCATTTCCCATTTTATATATAAATTTCTTTACATAAAAACTGTCATATATCTTTGCGCTTTATTTTAAAATCGAAACTGAATTTTTTCTTGGTTGTACTGGAGTTTCTATTTCTATGACAATTTTTCATAGGATTTCATTTCTTATTTCCATTTTTGAAGTATCTCAATTTTCAAAAACCTATTCTCTATTAAAAAATGTTTTGACTGGGCACCAGGCTCACATATGTAATCCCAACACTTTGGGAGATTGAATTCAGGAGGATAGCTTGAGCCCAGGAATTTGGGACCAGCCTGGGTAACATAATGAGACTCCGACTCTACAAAAAAAGTCAAAAAATTAGTCAAAAAATTAGGCGGTGGCTCATGCCTGTAATCCTAGCACTTCGGGTGGCTGAGGCAGGTGGATCACCCGAGGTCAGGAGTTCAAGACCAGCCTGGCCAACATGGCAAAACATCGTCTCTACTAAAAATACAAAAATTAGCTGGGCATGGTGGTTCACACATGTAATCCCAGCTACTCAAGAGGCTGAGGGAGGAGAATCATTTGAACCTGAGATGTGGAGGTTGCAGTGAGCCAAGATCGTGCTACTGCACTCCAGCCTGGGCAACAGAGCAAGAGTCTGTCTCAAAAGAAAAGAAAAAAAGAATAGAAAAGAAAAGAAAAAAGAAAGAAAGAAAATTAGCCAGGCATGGGGCTATGCTCCTGTTGTCCTAGCTACTTGGGAGGCTGAAGTGGGAGCCTGGGAGGTCGAGGCTACAGTGAGCCATGGTCATGCTACTGCACTCCAGCCTGGGCAAAAGAGTGAGACCCTGCCTCAAATTAAAAAAAAAATAATAATAATGTCCTGTGAATGAGATGAAGTTTTACTAGTTGTTATTTGTATGTAACATGTACATATACTATACATGTAAATATATACATGTATATAAATGTATTACCTTTTTAATTCCAAAAGCAGTACAGGATATATAAAATTTTATACATTACAATACAGTAGTCCCCCCTTATCTGCAGGAAACATGTTCCAAAATCTCCAGTGGATGCCTGAAACCATGGATAGTACTGAACCCTGTATTACTATGTCCTTTAAATCTAATAACTAGGATGGCTACAAAGTGACTAACAGGTGGGAAATGTACACAGAATGGAGACCCTGGACACAAGATTGACTCATGCCCCAGGAGGGGGGACGTGGACTGGTGTGAGACTTCATCACCCTGCTCAGAGTGGTGTAAAAAATTTAAAACCTAAGATATATTTCTGGAATTTTCCATTTAATATTTTCAGACTCTACTTGACTGAGGGTAACTGAAACCATAGATGAGAGGGGACTACTGTATATTATCAGCAAATCCCGAGAAGCTGCAGAAGAGAGTGGTTAGATGAGGAGACTTCAGAGTCCAATGGCCTGGGTTTAAAACCCAGCTCTATCCATTTCCAGCTATGTGACCTTGAGCAAGTTGCTTAACCATTGTGGAACTCAGCTTCCTTAGCATTAAAATGAGGATAATAAGAGAACATATTTCAAAAACCATGAGAAGGAGCAAATGAGTTTTTTTCTTCTGCAACAAAGCCACTTTTTTTTTATTTTTTAATTTTTAGCTAATAATTTAATGCATGTAAAATGTTTAGTCCAGGCCGGGCACAGTGGTTCACACCTGTAATCCCAGCACTTTGGAAGGCTGAGGTGGGTGGGTCACGAGGTCAAGAGACGGAGAGCATCCTGGCCAACATAGTGAAACCCCATCTCTATTAAAAATACGATAATTAGCTGGGTATGGTGGCGGGCACCCGTAGTCCTGCCATGGGAGGGACTACATGGGAGGCTGAGGCAGAAGAATTGCTTGAACCTGGGAGGC